CTACATCTGACATATGTGCTCAAGAACTATTAGTTTACAGACTTCGGTATATGGTCATGTAATACAATATGATTTATGATACAAAACGATATATTTATATCAATAGTTCAAAACTGATGATGATGTTATTTACTAAAGAAGAAAAATAGCAATAATATATATACATATTACCATATATATTACTAAATATATACATATTATAGATACATTACACCCAGACACAGAACAAATCATCTTGCTAATAATATAATAATAATCATCATCATCATCATCAACAGCCTATAACAGTCCACTGCTAGACATAGGCCTCTCCTTAAAAAGGAGGTTTTGGCCTACTACACCACGCTGGCCAGACGGGTTGATATAGGGTTTGTTACAAGTTTTCCTTCTCTTTGCAGTGTTCTTGTCGTGCGTAGTTTGCTCCCTTAGTCGGCTCTTACGACATACGAATAGGGGTGGTGACATTCCGTATTCTTAATCCCTCACCACACGGACGGATAATAATAATAACTTCACACATCTCACTGTACTGTACTATGGTAATCAGACTGCTGATAAACATACATATTACTGTATATATTACTAAATATATACATATTATAGATACATTACACCCAGACACAGAACAAATCATCTTGCTCATCACACAATTATTTTTCATCACAACATTGCTTTTTATGTATTATCTGATACGTATATAAGAGTTTGCGTTTTATTAAATAATAGAATTTGTAAGTACGAGTATGTATCAGAAATCGATCATTCTGATCACGTTATACCAATCGTGGTCACGTAGAGTGGACATTGAAGTCATTTGAGTATCGTTATCTGTAAATTTAATATAAATAATTATTTCATTTTATATTATTAGCTATTCTTTTAATATTTAATATATTTTAACTAAATTCACCATAATTGTTCTCGTATAAAAAAGAGTTAATTCTGTAATTGAATAACTTGAAGAGGAGTATTTAATTCTTATTTTAATAATGGCGGAGTGTCAACACCCTTATTCATACCGTGGGTGTCGTAATAGCCGACAAACTACGTGGAAAGAGAACACTACACTGTAAAGAGAAGGAAAACTTTAAACAAACCCTATACCAATCCGTCTGGCCAGCGCGGTTTAGTAGGCCAAAATCTCCTTTCTAAGGAGAGGCCCGTTTCCAGCAGTGTCCTATTAGTGGCTGTTGATGATGATTATAATATGGTTCTTATGAAAATTATTGCTACAAGACACAGTTTACATTTAACCTTATAATCTAGGTAAGAGGCCTCAGAATGTTTAACAACATATCCCTATATAATCATTTCCTACCATTGTCTTGCCTTGTTATCTTCTTTTTTTTAATATAATCAATTTTACGAAAATAGTCTTCCTCTATCTTAAGTATGTCATGTAGTATTCAACTTTTAGTCGGCAAAATTAACTGTTAGTTAGTTGAATTATTATCCGCCTCCACAATTCTTATTATAAGCCCCTTGGCAAGTTACAGCAATAATATGCATATAATGTATTACATAAGTTTGAGTTGCCTCACATTTCGAAGGTTGCACTGGCAAAGCTGACTCTTTAATAACCTGTTTTAAACGACGATCATGTTAATAATCGAATACAGAATAATATACAATCGTGTTTATATATAATTTCAATTGCACACTAATCCCAAACAGATTTGACATTTATTGGTGGGATTAATTGTATTGATTAATATTCCATGTGGTACACATTGTTACTGCAAACATACAAGCCAAGTCCTCTTTACATGCGTGTATAATCAGCAAAAGCTTCATGTTACGTACGTTTAGAGGTTTTGCTGATTATACAAAATCGCTTTTGTTTCCATAAGCAATCTTTATATGAGGACTATTGAATACCGGTGAAACATTTACGCGTTTGAGGATTCATATAATATTTTTGTTTCTTTTACAATAATATGTAATCTTATTTAAAATAAATTTCGTGATCAAATATCTTCACATTAACAGCCTATAATAGTCCACTGTTGGACAAAGGAAAAAAGAAAATCCTTAGAAAGACGGTTTTGGATACTCATCTTCTATTAATTCGCGTATCTATGTAAATAAGAACTGATTAAAGCAAATGTGATTTTGTTTCTAGTTTTACGTCTTAGCTACTTCACCTTCTTAACTTCTCGTCGTCGTATTAAAAATTGCATACACGGTGTTAGGGATGCATAAAAAATATATAGAGATACCTCTCATCAAAAAAGAAATAGTGAAAAGTGAAGCTTCGCTAAAAGTAAAAAGTACTCGTATGTGTATGAAATTTAATTCGGTAATTTTGGCATATGACGCATTTAGTTAATTAGAAGCATTATATCGACACACATAGTTAAAAAGTTGCAATATTATAGTTTTATTTTTAACCCGATTTTTTATTTTTCTCTATCGAGGATGTAAGGTGATATTAGACACTGATTAAAGCTAACCCTTTTGTGTTCGTCGATATTTATTTAGGCCTAGCTTCATATTTACTAATTTTGTTTCAAAAACAAGGTCAGTGACATCTGTGTCAGGCAATAATTTATTTATCATAAATGATTCGTCTGGCTTTTGCCTTTGTATTTGATATTTAGGCACGCAACTGTTTGCTAGTGATTGTAGTTGTTCTTGTTACAGTCATAGCATGACTTTGTTTAGTAGCTCAGAAATACTCTGAAGATAATAAAAAAATCCTTAAAACCTCCTACCCTCATTAAATCAGTTATTGTATTGTTCATTCATTTCTGCCTAAATATTGCTCATACAATATATATTTTTGTTAAATTTCTTATTTAACGTAATTAATAAAAAATAATTTAAGTAACGATTCGACGTGAATATATTTAATTTATTATTACTTTCTTACTTGAAATCATTGAGATAGAAATTACATTTTATCGTTATGATCTAGACATTCTTCGGTACCTATGTAGATACAGTTGTCCAAATAATATACGGATATTAAAAGTCGAGTAGCAATTGAAATTTAAGCTAGACAACAAATCATTTTGCAGATATGTAATATATGTTACATGATTTACTAATTTCAAACTTAAATACCTACTTTTATATTTTCTAAACTTGTATTACAATTGAAGACTTTATATACCTACTTTATTTACTTTCATGTACCTACTGCAATAAATGTTTATGAAACACATGGCATCAGTGGGTTAGAGTTTATGAGGAATCCGAGTTGTTCAAACTGGAGCTTACATCTGATGTTATTTCGGTGTTGGTGTCAAAACGACTCTGCTCTAAAAATGTCTGAAGGAGGATAGTGAGCACGGTGGATTCGCAAGAGCTTCGCTGGGCGGGCGGGCAAGGGGGCAGGGGACGCGCGGGGCCTCAGCGCCTACGCATTGCCCGCCGCACCTTGCCGCCCGCTTCTCACCAGTCAGCAACTGTGACTCGTGTTGGCTGAACCATCTATAGAGCCATCTTCTTTTTCTTTGCCGTAGGTGAGTTTTGGTGAAAGTTAAATATATATTACTAACATGTAAAATTACGGATTGCCACAAAATTATTGAAGTGCATTTAACGTTCAGTGAAGTGATATATCGACGTCTTCGTTGTAGACGGAGCACTGTGTTGCATCGTTCTTGCGACTAGTGTGTGTTAAAGGCAGCGGTGTATCAAAACGATTTTGCTGTTGAGTGTTCTATTAAATCTGATATCATCTTCCTGTACTACACATAGCTATATATATAGTTAGTATGTAAAACTTTTCGTGACGTCATAGATTACATCTTAGTTTTAAAGTTTTGTTTCTGTCTCTAATCGGTTCTCAATCAAGAATTATTCTGAAATTAAAATATTTAATATCTGGATCAAATGTTAATTGATGGTTTAAATATTATTTTCGTTTTTCACGTCCGGAATTCAGGTATTGCTATAGTTAAATTAGGATGTAAAAAATATTTTAACTAGTGAAAAATGTTTTTGTAACTTTAAATATGTAACATTTTAGTGTAATGTTACAATTATTATATTAATTCACTTTTCAGTCAATAATATGTTTTTATAGAATTTAATAATGCCTAATCGAATGAAATGTACCATTTCATTCGATCAATGTACCATCGGTGTGCTTTCCGTTACAACCGAAATCCGAGTAAGCAAAACTGAGCGTACGTGCGACCAAATTAGGATGCGCTATATGCGAGCCAACCTATTTCAGTATTTTCAGGCGCCCGCGCACCTTCCGAAATTTACCGAGCATCTGCCGAGCGCTCCCGAACCTAATTGTGGAATTTACATTACGTTAGCGACTGCTTATTACACGGATTCTTTTACAATCTTCGTTCGTAACTATTTTCACATTCTAAATTTAGATTTGAAACAAAATTAAGTCAAATGACTTTTACAATCTGCGCTTGCGTGTATAGCTTTTAGAAATTAGGGTATAGTTCTTGTTTGAATTTCATTTTGCAAAAAAATGGAAAAGTAGAGTATCAAATCGGATTTCGAGTATCAAGTATCGATATTCACACGTCGGCGTCTGGTTGGCTTTCGGCCAAATCGTTTTAAATAACGAACTTGGTTCATGACTACAACCAAATATGAATACTTTTTTGGTTTATTAATTGTATTGTATTTGTAAAATAGGGTACAAAGAAGTACTGGTAATAACAGTCATTTACTTGCTTAGTTTCATGTTTTATGATACGATCTGGTCAAGTTGCTAATACATAGTGGTGAACTGTATGTAATAAATAATTTAACGTTTTCGGTAAATCTTTGAATTGTTAATTATGTATATTAAGCCTTATACGCAACCTTTCTTTACGATTTTTTAAAATAAATGGATTTTGTGGTAAATAACAAATGAGATAATAATTAAAATATCGGCTGGAATGTCGCAATAGAAATATTATTATTCCTGATAAAAAGAAAACACAATATCAGGCCCTTTATATCAGCACCAGATCACGGAGTTTTGGTTACTGAGGATTGTTTTTCGTTTCCAGGACACCTAGACCAACACATACAAAATGGCAGATGATGAAGTAAGGTAAGCTATGGAAGGTCAAGGTCAAGGAAAAGATACATTAAAGTTCAACAAACATGTTATATACTGCTGAAATTTACTGTTTTTTTTTTAAATTTCATAAAAAAAAATGTTTCTTTACATGTTAATAATGATGTTATTCAGGCTTTCAAGGATTCTTTCCTTGAAAACTTGGCAAGTTTAAGAAAAAAATTGAAAATTGAGCAAGCCTGAAATGTGTTCTTTCATAAAATTAATAACAAATCAATAGTTTTAAAAGGCGTTTTTTGTTGGATCAGCTGGTAATAAAAGGTAAAAAGAAATATTAACATTTTCACTATAAAATTGAGAAAAAATATCAGCAAATCCTTTCTAAACAATGTTGAAGTAAATTCCTTTCTATCCTAATTTATAATTCTTTATTTAAAATTCAGGTTGGGAATAACAAATTTATATGAAATATTTTAGCTAACATATTTCGTGTTTTCCTTTCTTTCATTGTTAACTGTGACCTGGGATCGTTCATTGCGACCTTTACCAACGTGCCTGCGATGCCAATATGTAGTATTGAATCCAATATCTCCTCGAGACTAAGGTAATTATTGTGCTTAATTACTAATGTACATTTACACTTGCATTACCCTCACAAAAATACAAAATTGGACATAAATAGCCTGTCAATTGGTGTTAAATATACACAATCTTAAATTACCTACATAACAACTTTAAAGTTGTTCACCTTGTACATAAACAGACAGAAAATATGTTTATACAAAAAAAGAATTTCAAAATGGCTTCCATGACATAACGATATTATAAAACAGAAGAAATAAAAGTTTTCTAGGCACAGATACATATTTATATTTCTGTACATGACAAAACGTTTTGCTAAGACACGTCTTTGCTTTCCCCCTGTAAATTGTGACTTTTTAATTTTACAGTTTCGTTACAGCAGTTTTATATACACATATATACTTGTAAAAACATTCATTGTAAGTCGGTATACATTTCTTAGACCTGCATATAATTAGATAATACATATAAAAAATGCACTTAAATACGTTACACATAATTTAACAAGCTTATAACACAGAATATGTTAACACACACGAGTAAAAATGAAGCACTTTGTTTATAATATTGGATGTTTTAATGCGTTTCAACTAAATAGACCTTTTTTTTACGCGGGAATGCCGTTTGCACCATAACCTCAGTTGGGGAAACGGAGGACATGTTTGGTCTACCCACTAAACCCCGCGGCGGAATACCTCGGCAGTCGGGAGGAGCTCCAGGAACGTATCCGCGGATTCTGGAGTCCTCCCTGCCGTACCCCATGATTAAGGCACATTCCAGGGTGACCATGATCACTCTCAGGGCGGGATGTGTAAGGGTTTACACAGTAAGAGACGCAACAGTGCCCCGCCTTAGACGACACAACCCGGCCGCATTAGATCGTCACCTGTCTCTGGATTGCGATTGGGGAGCAGCATTGTTAGCTCCCCAATCGCTTGCCGCGATCAATGCTGGCGGTGACCAGTTTCGTCCAATTTGTTTAACTATGTCCACTATTCGACGCTTGGACTCCCATGCAGGGCAGCCTGACAGCGTGTGCTGGGCGGAGTCCCTGTTAGACCCACGATGGTAGCATTGTGCCGTGACCTGTCGTCCGATTCGATTTAGATACTCACCGAAGCAAACGTGCCCGGTGAGCATCTAAGTCAATCGGTAGGTGACACACTCGTTCCTCCCTACCAACGCTTGGCAAGACAGCTCCGACGGCACGTTGGTTAGCACAGCCCGAGATTTCAAGCCGTGCTTGCCACGCCCGCAGCGCCTGCGTATGCGCGTTCCGAATTAGAATTCCGGGCTCATGATTCATTATTCCGACCAACAGAGCGAACTTGGCCATAGACCATCGCGTCAAAGTCTGCCAGAATGTCGAAGGGTGGACCGTCGCCAGCAACCCCCTCACTCAGGGGACTTATAGCTCGAAATGCTCTTTGAAGCTCCACCGACTGTCCAGAGTGAGGCCTAAGTACTTCAGGTACCGGCCCACCTGGACCTCAGAGTCACACACCCAGAGGCGTGAGCTGGGTGGTGGCACCCCCTGCTCCCTGTCCCTGCTCGGCGAGCTGAAGCACCTCATGATATTCAAGGGCCGCCCTTATCGTCTGCCAGGGAAGAGTGCCGAATGCGTTGATGATATCAAGGCTAACCGCCAACGTTACCCCCTTTTGAATGCAAAATAGACTTAACTATATTACTCGTAAGTTAAGCTTACAAATTAGAAATAATAAAAGCAAAAATTAATGTAATAATATCTCTCACACCGAGTCAGTAATCCAAAATGACAATCTTGAAATGGTAATGATTAAGTATTTTTTTATTGTATGGCTTCTACAATGACAATATAATCTCACAAGCAAGCTTTCCAACACACATAACAAACACGTTAGTTACAAATGCACCATAATTAAGAAAAATTACCTTTATACTATTACAATACAGTGCGAAAAAATCTTTGAAATATTGTTCAAGCAAAAAGACAGAAGTATGTTAATACTAATGTAAAAGAAAGAAGATAATAATAATGTATAAGAAAGAAGATTACGATTTCATCTGTCAAGATTGCATTGTATTGTAAAAGAATGAAAACCCAAATGTTTCAGCACAATGTACGTGTCAGTTGTTACATTTTTATTTTTTTTACATTACTCTTGCTCTATATTTGGTGGTTAATATTGAAAGGACATTATGCTGATACTTTAAAGAAACATTTCAGATAGAATTTTTAGTTTTCTATGTAACGTTTTATTTTTCTCTTTACAGAAAAAGAATCTCGAGGAGGTAAAGTAACAACGGATCAACAATCGTTTTATGGACGATTTACTCACCACACGTACCAAATATTTCGTTACATTCAATTCATCTTTTCGCTTCATTCACTAACTCACACATTGTAGCAAAATAATACTTATAACACAAACTTTTGTAACAATACATACAAACACAAAAATGTAAACTTTTTCTACACTAAATTTGACAGCTGTCTATATAATGCACCTTTATTTTTCAAACGCACACATCACATACTGTAACGTAACAAATTAGAAATGCCATTACCACTGTCCAATATCTTCAGGCGAAGAAGGCCAAACAGGCCGAAATCGACCGCAAGCGTGCCGAGGTGCGCAAGCGGATGGAGGAAGCCTCCAAAGCTAAGAAGGCCAAGAAAGGTTTCATGACACCCGAGAGAAAGAAGAAGCTCAGGGTGAGTAAAATTGCTAAAAAACTTTCAATATTATGTGATTTTCATAAATTGTGTATAACATTTGCATTCCGGTGACAGTTACTGCTGCGTAAGAAAGCCGCTGAGGAATTGAAGAAGGAGCAGGAGCGCAAAGCGGCCGAGAGGAGGCGCATCATTGAGGAAAGGTGCGGTAAACCCAAGAACATTGAAGATGCAAACGAAGGTAAATCTCTGTTCAAATTTCTGACCCATCTCTGCTGTACTTTCTACTGTTTATTCTAAATGTATCATAATGTTACTATAAATGTATCATGTAATAAAAGTACTTTTTAAAAGTCGATCACACACTTCATAACACGGCGATTTGTCGAATCCATCTTTGATTTATGTATTACCTTGGTACAATCACATAGGGGTTCACTACTACTTACATATTTGTATATGTGTTTTATCGCATTATAGATAGTATTGCGAGGGTTTGCAAAGAATACCACGAACGCATCGGTCGCCTCGAGGATGAAAAGTTCGATCTGGAATACATCGTTAAGAGAAAAGATATGGAGGTAGAGAGATGAGCTGCTAAAGACATGGCTCTCTTTTGAGGAACTCACAAAACTTACAAAGATCTTATTTTCATATTTAAAAAAATCTAACGTTATTTGTGATATGTCAAGTGCCGTGTTGTCTTTACTTCGTCAGCTGGTTTAACAAAATCTTAACGATGTGTCAGCAGGCCATTGGTATATATGGCCTACCTGTTTGTCTAATGCGTTTGGTCTATTTCTTCTAAACTCCATATGAAAATCGTTAATCATATTGCAAACTTTCTATCTTCTTTATTCTGGTCCTTAAACTTCTTTCTGAACTCACACTTTGGCTAACTGCTGGTCGATGTAGCGCGATGTTACCGCAGCAGAGGGGCACGGGCTCACTCGCTGGGACGTATTGGTGAGTTAGTGCGAGTAACACTTGTTGATGTTATAGCGGCTCTCACGAGCATCATAACCGGTTACCATCAGCGTATCATCAAGCTAGAAGAGGAGAAGTACGATCACGAGATGGAGGTGGCCCGCAGAGGGTTCGAGGTCTGACCTGGTTTGGGCCGCAATGCAATTATTTCGCTCTCGTTTGAGTAGTTTATGCCGATAATGTGACTAGATTAAAAATTGTTTTGTTTTCGCAGAAAATTTATAATTGTCGATTTACGGAGCTGAAAATAAAAATATACCTTTTAACCGTGTGGATAACAAATAAATATTAAACGCTAAATAACAACGACCCGTTGTAGCAATTCCGAAGCTGCAATTGATTTTGTAGATACTGTCATCGTGTTTTAAGTCAATAACAACATTGATATATTTCAGTAATAGTCCATTTGACACCCACCTCAGTATTGATCATGTAGCTTCGCTTCCGCTTTGATTCCACCAGTCAAAGGTCCCTAGATCTCGTATCCACTATACAGCAAGAACACAGACCCGTGAGACATTCATCGATGCGCCGAAATGGTTCAAAACTTAAAATGTGATTATGTTTTTCTTTAGCGGAACTCCAGACGATTTGTCAAATGTACTGGCACAGAATATACAACCTTGAGGGGGATAAATATGAACTAGAACGAGCGATCGAAATTAGGAAAATGGAGGTAAACTACACAATTAGGATTGGGAATGCATATGACATGATATGAGTTGATTCTGATTTAGTTGTTACGACATGATATGATAGTTACGGCTCACCGCACACATGCACACGTCGCTCCACGTGGACAGACGCAGGTTACTCACATCGATGCCCATGCTCATTCTGCTGGCTCAATAATATGTCTTTCCTTTTTCTATAGCAATGCTCAAGAGAATAATACAGGAGTATTATGACCGCATGTATGTGTGTGAGGGCCAGAAGTGGGATTTGGAACATGAAGTCAGGAAAAGAGATTATGAGGTATTGACCAATACTTTATAACCATTGTGAATACCACAGTCATCGATTCTGTAACAAACGTGCGCGTGTGACAGTTCGTTGATAACGCTTTGTAAGTTTTCGGTTGTTTGTTGTTGAGTTGTAAATAACGGTAAAAGGTCGGTTCGTTAGTACAGTACATTGTAGACGCGTGTGTGCGTGACGTAACGGGGCGGACGCGGGCGCAACTCCGTCCCGAAGGCGTGCGGTGCAAAATCGATCTCCGCCGGCGCCGGCGCGCGGCGTGGCGCGTCATCTGACATGGAGCTTACACCATTAACTACACTAACTACAGTAACCACCATCGGCATAACACTGCACTCACACTGGTGTCTGCTCGCTCTAGCGGCAGCCGCTGCATGCTCGCGTAACTCTCATCAAAGATATGTACGTATATGTATGTATTGTACTTCTATGTTATCATCGCGGTCTCATTTCTATGTCTAATATATTTCTAAAAGTTAGTCGATTGATGTGTCATGTCGGTCATCTTTCCATATGCATTCCACGTTCATCTTTACCAGTACCATCTTTTCACGAAACCGCTTTCACCCGCTAAAGCTTTGCCTGTTGCATGATAATTATATTCTATAAAATTTATGTAACCACCATTCCTAAAAATATCTTATTAAATCATTTCTAAAATGGTATGGCACTTAAATAATAATCGAAAGTGTGTCAAAGTAGTTAATCAAGCATAATCGCTGCATCTGCCAGTGTGACGCTTCATGTGTGTTGGCGAGCTTAGTGGCCTTACTGAATTTTCTCTTTTTTTTGATAACAATAAAGAGAACCGTTGAGGTGTAATTGGGACGCTGGACTGGTTCCTCTATTGGCACACGCAAGTGCATAGTGTAAGTGAAACTTCTTGTTCCAAATCTCCAACTTTTCACGTATGTGCCGTCATATTCCGCGCGACATGTTTGCGTGTTCGGTTGCTGATAATTCCCAAAAAAACCTTTTGCAATACCTGTATACGCCGAGTGTTTAAATTGAAAGTGCCATGCTCTGGTCGATGTTACCTACCCCCTTCCTGCGTGTACGAGGCGTGGCGACCTCGGCCGCTCGGACAGTTTGCATCACTTATTCGGGACACGGAGTGATGTATACTATGCTCACTTGCGAGTCCAAAGACACACAGTACCAACATCTGTATCAACATACATACCCACATTGGCAAGTCTGGGTCGATTTTGCACCGTCACTCCATGATACACATTATGCAACGTGGTACTCATACATTGTTCGTCGATGTATACAAAAAATATACTTTCGAAACATACATTAGTCATTTGAATATATTTATCAATTAACTAGCATCGACAAGCGCTCAATATGTTACAATTTCGATCACTAATTAATTTTGAAGCACAATTGTACTCGTTTTGTAGACCGACGCACGGTTCGTTCACGCTCGAAGCAGTAAAATATTGTTGGCGCTAGTGTGTTACAAAAGTTGCACATGTATTATATTCTGCACATCTCAATGTAAATTTGTGAATATGTATAGATTATTGAGGAACAGGAGCTGCAGGCGGCCAGCTACCAATCACGAGCCACGATAAGTAGATATCTTGCACGAGCACACTCAATGGGTACTTTACTCATAGAGTCCACGATGTTATCCTGTAACGAGTAGGTAAAGAGCACAGGCTAAAGATAATGGAGGTCACAGAATTGATTTGGGGTAGTCATTATATGTTCCTACAGACCACAGATTAGAAACAGTCTACATCTTGCAAATAACACTGCCTAATCTATGCTCAGCTCTATATCTTGTTCTGTGCTTTTCTAGTTAATATTTCAAGTTCAATTTTCTCATAATCATTTTATGCGTGGGTGGTTTTGTTTTCATTTGAGAGTTGTTGAGCTTTACATGACATTGTGGCAAATGTGTATTGCATGGTAGTTTCAACAGTTTAATGAAACAAACGTTTCACAAGTTTGAAATTTCTGTTTGTTGTATGAAATCTGGTATAAATAAATCAGTGCCCAATACATTTATCGTGAGTTACCATTTTAACAAACTTGTGAAATGAATTTATAAATGTGTTTCACAACTGGTACAGTAAAATATTTATATCTTCTATCTCTGTTCAAACAATGACTTTTTATACTTGTCATTTACTTACAATTCATATTTTATTTATTTACAAACTTGTCTAAATACTTTATTTTTAAACATTTAAACATTTCTTAGCATTTATATACTTATTTATACTACTTGGAATGATATTTAAAATAATACCACATTTTCAGTAGACACATAACACTTCCTATTCCCTCTAATGTTTTATTAACTTGCCATCTCATTTTGTATATCGTGCATTGAGACTCTTCTATTTTAACAGATTGCGGACCTGAACTCCCAAGTCAACGACCTCAGAGGAAAATTGTGAGTATCTACCGTAAGAGTTTATAGCTAAATTATCATAATCTCGACTTTCAGGCTTTATTTTCATTTCATTTACGCCGATCCTTTGGTTATAGCGGCTTTGAATTTAATATGAAATAGGATATTTATAGTGAATTAGGTTGGAGTAAGTGCCTTGAAACGTATATATTTTTATGAATACTCACCACTGGGTCTAGTACTTTACTGTACTTGTTATGGCTACGTTGTATTACGTTATTAAAAACTAACACATATACTGAAATGAAAAAACTAAAGACAGCTTTGTTTTTATAGCAAACGATCGTACAAATTTCGGATTAAAAAAAAAGTTACAAAATTATTTATAGGCTTTTATAAATGAGCTAAAATTAATATAATACAATTAAAATATTTGAATTGAGGTATCAAAAAATTCCTAAGCATCGTCGCTTACTAAAATTATTCGATTAACAAAATTGAAAATCGATATTTTTTTTAATGAATTACAAGCTTGAGGAAGCAACGTTTTGGAAGTGTAATGGTTTTAGTCTCTGTTCCTTTATTACCACTCCGTTGCCATCAAACATATAACAAAACTTCACATTAAATTCTACAGCGTCAAACCCACACTCAAGAAGGTGTCCAAATATGAGAACAAATTCGCCAAGCTCCAGAAGAAGGCGGCTGAATTCAACTTCCGTAACCAGTTGAAGGTCGTTAAAAAGAAGGAGTTCACCCTTGAAGAAGAAGACAAAGAGGTAAGGAGACCTTAAATAGAAATAAGGCTTTTCTTTGTAATAGGAACTATTAAATATAGCCTGGATGGAAGAGTAAAATCATAATTTAGTTGTAGTTTGATAAACAACTTATGATAATCACACTATTCTACTACACGTGAACTGTTTCAAAACTATTTATAATATTGTTAACTTCTTCTTTTCAAATTTTTTACAATTTCCACTTCATTAATCTTTAACATTCAAACGTTTATATTATTTTGCTTTTTTTTCATCTGTTTTGGTTCGAATCCAAAAACCCTGCTTCTCTTAAATGCATAGGGGTGACTCAAATAACAATTAATTATCTTAGAGGGTGGTACTTAACATAATAGTTTTAAAGGTTTCTTCTTTACTGGATTAACTTGAAGTATCAATTGCCAACTCATCTTCAACAGGCCAAGAATGCGGAGAAAGCTGATTGGGCTATTGGAAAGAAGTAGACCACACTAAACTAGTCAATCTAATTGTCAATTTTTTACAATCATTATTTATTGTCATGTAAATGATGACTTATTTTTAATTATCCGTAAATTTAATATAAATAAATGATTCTTTTCTACGGCAAATCTTTAAATACCATACCATCCAAACCTGAAATAACGAGGTGAGATTGAGTTTGGATGACGCGTTACTCACAGCTTATTATTTAATTTAGATGATGTGTACATTTTTCAATAACAGTTTTTTTGAGATTCTTCCCGCCAAAAGGCTTATTCTGCAAGGATTTGAAGGGAGTTCATTCTACTTTTCAACTATTCCCCTGCAAAGCTTTTACCCTTTTGAAAGGGAAATATTTCAAAGCATAGTGACTAACATTTCATATAAATCTGCAAATAGGTAACAATTTTAACTGTATTTTCCAAATTAACGCAAATGATCTTCAATATAACTAGTATACGTATATGTACATCACTATATATATTATAAAATAATTTTACTCATTAATAAAGCTCCGTCATTCTATTAGGCTGTCATAAGAAAGTGTGGAGGTATTTTATACTGCACATCAACACTGTACCTAAATCTAGACACTTTGAAAATCGTAGCATCAATCTTTATGAAAGTATGTACGTGTACCATAATATGTACTTATTTAAATAAGTGCGATTTTAAGTCTAGATTACTGTTGAGGTAGAAAATGTAGTGATACATAATAATAATAGTATATTTAGATCTTGTATATCATGATGCGATGTTTCACAGGGTGGCGCTGCAGCCAAGGTAAATAGACAGTAAAAATGCCAACGTGTATACGACACGTTTTATTTAGACGATGCTCCTACACGCGGCATGTTATATTTTGAGCACAGCTATGAGATGTACCGTTGATAGAGTGGCTACAATTACCTACTTTATTTTTCACTTCGGCTGAAGATCTTTGCCAATACAGAGACATTAAAGATTGGCATCAATTCGTTTTGTATATTTCATCCGACCACCTGTTTTCAAGGGCGTGCTATTCGCGTCGCAGTTTTATTATTTTTCTTTTCTGATGAACTTTTTAGAAGGAAAAGTAATAAAGTTGTATGCGATTGCTCTGCCTTTTAACCCATAGCAGATTTATTGCATAAAGCTTATATGTGTTAAGCATTCACATGTTCCACGATGTATCATATATCAATTTTCTTTTAGGTCGCTACACAAAATGCTTCGATTTTAGAGCAGTTTTACTAGATGTGTTATATTCCTATTTTAAAGCTTCGAAGTGTGTGCTTAAGATAATTATTTTTTACGATTCAGTGAACCTTTTGCTACATTGCGCCATACTCCATATGAAAACGTAAGCATTTAAGCACCTGAGTATCAAATATTATGGAGTATGGTTCGGTGGGTCTGTTGTTCAGAAGCACCAGCAAAAGGCTTATATCAAGGGAAAGGGTGTAAATTTTATTTTGAATATTACCAAATTTTTAACTAATTTTATTATTATTATTTTGACGAAATAAAGTTTACACACTAACATTTCGTCGATAATGATGGCATTTGTATATTTTATGACTTGCTTCAACAAATTTCGAGGAGTGCTGCTTGTCACGTTCGTATCTGAGTATATAGCCTTGATACGCCGTTGACTGTGATACAAACTATTAATATGAATAAGTAAATAATGTGTGCCATTTATTTCCGCAGAAAAAGCCAGACTGGTCCAAGGGAAAACCAGGAGACCAAAAGGTAAAAGAGGAAGAGGTTGAGGCATGAACTGTTGACATCCCCCATTTACCATAAAACCTTTACTATATGTCGGTTGACAATTGTAATTAACTATACACATATTGTGATATACCTACCCTATGTGGCCAGCCTATGCGCCCATCAGAGAATTCCTTTGGTATTTCCAGTAAATAGTTGCTCTTTAGTTATCTGTGTAAATGTCGATTGAACAGCCACATACAATTTCGAACATGTCAAAATAATTTTTATATAATTATTATTTATTTATTAAATACTTTTTGTAAGATAATACACATAATAAAATTAATTTTCTGTACTGTAATACATATTGTGAATGTCATTTATGTTTTCTGTAATTCCCTATGACCTTGTATATCCCTGTCCGTGTTGTTTGACCTGTAGTAGAATATTATTATTTGTTATATTATTTCAATGGAGCACAGCAGGTATCAGCTCAAATTTGAGTCAGCCGACAGTTGAAGCTATATCCAGTACTTCTTAGGTAGTCTTGTTTTCTAAGTGTGAATTGGATCGCTAGAGTTCGATGAAAGGGATGGAGGGGAAAGGGATACATTAGGAGTTACCCTACAATTTTTTTATGGATTGTGGGATTGGGTGACGTTTCTTCACGTTTCTTTTTTTGGTGTTCCATCCATCGAAAGCGCGATAACGACTATCATTTGAAACGCCTTGTGTTTGTCCCTAAAACATGCTATTAAAAATCTACCAGAAACCCAACTTACTAACTAAATTTTAAAGCGTTACCTTACTAGAAAACATCTACCAGAAGCAACTAACTATAAAATCTAGAAGACAATTAGCACAGCAAAATCCTTTATAAAGTCTTCGAGAACACATTTCTATAACGAGAATTTCAACAACACTGGAGATATTTTGAGAGCTTCGGAGTCGTCTGTAGCTGGCAGAAATACTACTTAGTACGAAAGCAACGTTATATTCGTGAAGTACAATTGACAAGTTTAGAAAAATTGAACTTTTCTAAAAGAAATAGCTGTCTTTTTCTATCAGTAGTGTTTCAGGACCATCTTATTTTATCAGTGTGTTATGTGAAGAGATCAATGACACTTATACACACTTTTTTTTTTAAAGGCTTACTAGGAACCGAAATTACTAGTATTCCCGTTAACCCCTTCAGCTAAGCTAAATTGCTTATATTAGGAGTGGATTCACGTCGGTAGTGGTCGTGTTCGGTTGTCAGGATTCAAACCCACCACCTCTTGATCGCAAGTCCATTGCCTTAACCACTAGGCTACCGTTGCTTATGGTAACATACATGTTAACATCAAAAAGACATAATATAGGTACCAAAAATATTCAGGTTTTAATTTGAGGAAAGATATTGGTGTCGTATAGTTAATTAGTTAAAAATGATATCGAATTGAATATTATATTTTGTAGTAAATTCGTTAAATAAAATAATAGCATGTATGTAGATCGCACGATTGTTTGAATTATACAAAATTTTCCAAAAATTACTAAAAGAATCCAAACAAAATTTTAAAATTGCCTTGTACCTGTAACTAAAAATATAAACAAATAAATCCGACTTGGCCAAAACATTTTACATAGCACGTCGCCATGTGAAAAAGGTCTTAAGTAGTATTATGTTGTTCATAATAATTTAAGTGTTATTAAAACCAAACCAAAGCACACGACACTCCAGAAGAGCTATTTAAGCAGTTTCGGGTACTGCCAGACTTATTAGTTGACATTTGGCTACAGCCATTGCGATAAACTTTTAAACTCAACCTGAACAAAGCTTTATTCTGAATTTTTAAAGTCTATACTAACCAGTATTTATTATACCTATGAAATGATGCTCTTTCATTTTTAAGCTTACCGCACATTGTACTGTAATACTGTTAAAGGTGATTTCAACGTGTAAAGTGAATGAAATTGTTTTTTTTTGGTTTTAATAGTCCTGCCCTCAATTCATATAATTTATCCTTTTCTGATCCTTTGTATCTCCTGGGTCCGTAAACAATTTTATGTTTGGCATACGTAGTCTGTATTGTTTTAATTATTTTTAAATCCCATTTGAGCATGTTTTAGAGGTTGGTAATGAGTTTATTTTTCTCTAGTTTATGTTTTTTTAGGGTATAACTACCAAATAAAACAACATTTTTACATTGCAAAATATCAAATATGAGAATCCGTTCATTTTCAAGAAGAAACACTCGAAAATATAAGTCTGAACTCATTCAAAAATTGGGGTCCTTTCCTCAGTAAAAAAAACTATCACAAAATCCTATATGTACTTGTATAATGAATAAGTGTGATAATGTATGTGTTTAAATTCAGTTACACACATACAAACACTTACACCTGTTACCTACAGGGGTAGGCAGATACAAATATATATATATATATCTAATAAGAAAATACCAATTCAGTTTTTTTTCAGTATACCTAACTTACTTCGTCTGTGAATGCTCTACTGCATCTGGTATAAATTTATCTAGTAATTCTACAGATTGTTGCGTTCAAATCTACAAATGCTATAGGTACCTATATGAACAGAATGGGGTGTTTTGAAGGAGTTTTGTATAAATTGTCGTTTGTGTTTACTTACGATTTTGGAGTTCTAAGTTCTTGAACCAGGAAAATAACTGTGTTTTCCTGGTAACGTTTTGGTAAACTAAAAGAGGGTAACAACCCTTCTTAAGTAGGACGAAAGTATAGGTAGCAAAATATGGATGCAAACCACACCTCCTCACCTTACAATCGATTCACGAGGTAAATTTTTGTAAAGAGCCTAAAAAAAAGATATAAACTGGCATGTTCTGAAGCTCAAGTTCACATTTTACTGTAGTTCCAAATTTATTTGTATATAAACGCTTAAATATATAAATTAAAATGAATTATAACAAACGACAGCGTACCACAGACCTCAGATAAATTTATAAGTATTTGCAAGTTGAAAATGGATGTTTATCCAGCAATATATTACTATCGAACATAATATATATTTTTCTCTTGATGTGTTCTGTTGTTCGACTGTAAAAGATAAATGAGACGTTGAGAACAGGACAATTCCGTGAAAAAATAACATTATTTGGACAGCATTATGTAAATTGTAGTTTCTGGTAAATTTCTGGGGTTGGAATTTTTGTACCGTATTGTGTTCTTTGTTATATCTGTTGGAAATTAGTTTATAAATCTTATATATAAAATTCTCGTGTTACAATGTTCGTTTCCGTACTCCTCCGAAACGGCTTGACCAATTCTCATGAAATTTTGTGTGCATATCGGGTAGGTCTGAGAATCGGCCAACATCTATTTTTCATACCCCTAAATGGTAAGGGTGACCCATCCCTAATTTCTTTTTGTTTTGCAATACAACGTTTGCCGGGTCAGCTAGTTATATATGAAATTCGAGTAGATGTAATGATATATAGATAATACAGAATATCGGATGTTTTATATTTCATATTAATTACTCAGAATGAATTAACTGATTAATCTACACTGTTTATAGAAAACAAATATAAGAAACATTTATAAAGTAAGGGGTACTTTGGGTAGTGAGATCTTAGAAAAAGACCTGTCTTTTTACTCAGACCGTTCCTTAAAGTTATATGATATAAAAACAAAATATCAAATACTGATTTTAAGGAGTAGAGGAGAAATCTTTACAAGATATTTACTCTCATACTTCAATAGGTCCCGAGGTGCTAGATGCTTTTAAAAAGCTTTTTACAGAAGTAGTAACATGTGAATGATATCCCTAGTGCAGGAAGTACTTGTTGACTTATGGTGGAGCAGAAGCAATTTTAAAATTAGTAATAATTATACATAGTATAATATATATATATATATAGTATAATATATATAAAATATTTACCTTATAGTATTAAAATGGAACAGAAAATTATTAGTTAATGATTTAGTCAAGCGTTCAGTCTGATATGTATTTATTTGTCATTACTACACATAACAACCTTAAACCTATTTTGAGTCTACCTCCGGCAAGCACTGGTTTTCCTACAGACAAAGTACCACCGTTAATAGTCGTTTATAGTATGTACAGGATATTAGTTAGGTAAGATGTATGATATTTAAGAGTTATGACTTTAATTGACAGGGTTTGCCAATTAGCTGCCAATTAGGTAGGGTTTTGGTAAAGTCATATGTAACTAAGGCAGGTGAACTTTATAGTTTTAAAATTACGGTTGTCGAGAAATGTGCAAAGCTTCTGCTGTTATTTGTACCGCATTTTGAACGAATAAGACGGTAAAGTTGCAGAGGGTTTAGGGGCTTTCTGAATCACATTTGAATATGTCAAATGTGATTCAGACAGAGACGTCCCATGTGTTCGAGTCAGCATCTTTGGCATGAGATGGCAGTATTAGAAACTGTGTTAACATGAGATTATAATATAAAATTTTCAAACGTCAAGTGTAAAGTGGATCTGTTCTTGTTTAACAATATGCTTTATTTATTCAATAAACCTCAATTTTTACACGATTGCTTAAACATTTGATTGGATTGTAATGATGTATGTATGTCAAGGGGTTGGTAGACTATGAAAGGATTTACATCTTCCCACTCTGAATGACAAAAATATTAATGTATTGCGTGTACCTCATTGATTTTTTGGTTGTGTTTCTTAATATACTATCATTTTTTTAAATTAACTTACAATCTTTATATTATCCGCCCTTCTTTCTTCTTTTGGTGCGATTGTGCAATTGCTTGATTTGTGATTAATAGGAAAATGTTAACATTTCTTTAATAAAAGCTTGATATTAGTTTCAATTTCGTAGAGAAAAAAATTTGTCTGATTACTATAGGCACTATTATAGTATAAAGCTCTCTGTTTAGATCGCTATGAAAGTATTTTATGCCACACATATAAATAATGACAAAAATATAATAAATAATATCCTCTCGACTAAGCTATAAGTGCCAAAGAACGTAAAATAAAATGACTAAGCATTATGATCTCAAAAACACATAAAAGATTTATGTGAAAACGTTATAAACGTTCTGCGTTTAATGAAGGTTTATTCTTTTGAGCGACTGGTAGTGACGCTTGGAATCCATTATTTTGTACAACAGAGGATGACATGGGAAAATTTTATTCCTTTTTACCTATTATTATAACTTTCCACGTAATTTCCACGTTAAAGAATACAAAATTCGGCCTTGTCGTCGTAGTCTGAAAGTGGACTCCAACCTAGTTTAAGAAAAGGCTCAGAGGAGGATAAGTTCTTATTATTATCATATATAAACTATAAGTACGCTATAAATATAATATATATAACGCAATAAACCTGGAACTATAAATTTAATTGTCAAGTAATGAAAATGTAATAATAGCTTCCCACATCCCACACACGGCCGTCTGATTCCAAACTAGGCAGAGCCTGTGCTATGGCAACCAGACTGCTGATAAACATACTTATATATTTTTTAAATACACACATATCATAGATAAATTACACCCAGACACAACAAATCACATAATTATCTAACCCACTACCTCCGGGTTAGCAGTTAGGGTCACCAACCACTAGATGAACAGGCTTGTCGCCTGTAATGTAATTTACTCATCGTGAGTATACTTTATACTCGTATATGGCGAAGAATGAGTGTTGACAAAGAATGACAAAAAAAATCGTTCGTTGCTTTAAATATTTCTTGTTTGAATTCTTAGACTAAGTGAGATTGTGCCAATGTTTCATTAGTGGATAGAATTCGTATAAAGTTTAAAATTAAGAGTGTTTACTTACTCTCAGAATAATTGAGAGTACATAGAATAGTTACATAAAAAACTTAAACTAAGGTTATAATGCAAGGCTATCATCAAGACGTCACAAGTTCTTAGAAATATTTTAGCTTTTAAAATCTTCGTTATAAATCAACACAATCAAAAGTTTTTACTAAGTCCACATCATCCCTTCATCCGCAGCTGTTGGTGAATCCTTTTGGTAAGTTCCGAATCATTTAAAGTTCCAAATTTGTTCAGCCTACCGATCTTTAACTCTTAACTTTGCTTATTTAACTGCCTCGATTTCTCTTATATTATCACTTTTAAATTAACAGATTTTCATTATTCTAAAAATATTTAAGAATTGCTACCTGATTCTAGTAGATTCAATTTCATTTTCAGAAGGTTCAATAAATTGAAACATTAAATAAATAACACTAATATCCGGAAATTTTGGATTTATACGGACGGATACGGTATACAGACTAGGTTATACGTATAACGAATGTACGAATATATGTATACAAAATATATAATACCCACAAGGCCCTAATAATAAATAACAAAGACAACTATCTAAAGGTGTAACCTTATTAAAAATCTTTTCTAAGATGATTCTGCAAAATAAAAGTGGTACTGACATACAGTTTTAATTAAATTATATAAAAACCTTTTAATACACATAACATCCGTGTTCAGACATTAAGCTAACTTATCCACTTGCCACCAGGCATTTATTAAATAGATATATAGGTCGTAAGTTATGTTCCGTCATGAGAAAAATAATTTTCCAAAACGATAATAACATACGATAACAAATTCAATGATATTTACAACTCTACTGTTAAAGATATTAGTGAAGCTGTAACAATGTAACTATAAAAATTCAATTGCATCTGTATTTGTTCAAAATTCAAATATGAAAACTGTAACATTTAATAACGGGCTTATTGGAAAATGGCTTCAAAAAATTATTGAATGGAAATGTTTATTGACGAATGTGGATGGTAATTATGTTTAATTAAAAATATAAATGAAGGCCGAAAAGCAAAATTAATATTTCACAAATTAACAGATTTTGTCAGTGTAAACTTATTCTGCAGTTTAATATGGTATTGCAACAAATAGAATCGGGAATTATTTGTAAAAATATTAAAAGACGTCAATTACATTTTAGTTACTATCAGTAACTCGCAAATTTTTTTACCTCACTCTTTTTTAAATTTATATTCATGGAGTAGGAGGCTTTATAAATGAAGGTATACGGAATCTAGAAGCAGTACTTGGTGCTTGCGGTAAAAACTCGCAATAAAGTGTCCTCGTTTCACATCTGTGCGTTTTAGAGTAGTCACAACGTGCATTGTACGACAATTATTCATTCATTTTCGCCACAAGAATCTGCAGTCCTAGTATAATTTCAGCGTATTTCATAAGACTTAACACATACTATCATGGTTAATCTGCATTTTCACTTGTGCAATAGAATCATGCTTTAAATAAATGGTTGCTCCTTTAAGAACATAGTGCAAGGGGGTATATTTCCTAATTAATTAAGATGTTTCAGGAGGGTGAGGCAGGTGCGGCTGCTCCAGGAGATGGGGCTTCACCTGCAGAAGGAGTTCCACCAGCCGAGGGTGCCCCACCGGCTGAAGCTCCACCGGCTGAAGCCCCACCAGCTGAAGGAGCACCGGCTGCAGCTCCACCTGCTGAAGGCGCCCCAGCACCCGCACCCGCTGCAGCACCTGCGGAAGGTCAGACTGATGATAATGATGACTCTCACACTTGAGAACATTTGTTTTATGAATAGATATTGGAATTCTGTTACTATTTAGGTATTATATTTGATTGAACAGAGACAAAAAAAATAAAGAAATGCAATGACTTTATAATGCTATGTCATCGGTATGAATTGTCTTAGTTTTAATGCTTCGTTGCCATCCTGGATAATATTGTGAAATATGTAATCTACGATCGAACGAATATTATAATCTACGACGACGACGTTCGATCGAATGATAGTTGTTAATTGATAATAAAATAGTTATAAAATTATCTCATTGTTTGGAAACTTTCAGTTTAATAAATTTATTTTATTTTTAATAACTACAGGTGCGCCGGCAGCAGCACCAGCTGAAGGCGCGCCAGCGCCCGCTCCTGTAGCTCCCACTGAAGGTCAGTTTCTTATAAATCTACTTTAGGATTAAGAAATTATTCACCTCTGTATTTTTCTACGAGACATGATTCCAAAAATAAACTGCAGAAGACCCGCAGTTGATGATAGAACTGGGAAAACCCGGCAAACATTACTAGTATTACCTGTATTAAGTACAGGCACAATACAAATTTCCAAGTAGATAGGTGTGTAACTATGTTTCTTTGTAGTAAATATTACTAGTTTTTTTTTAGTTTTCCTAGTGTTGGTTCCACTTAATTACTGAACTCAATATTTAAGGTAACAAAACGAAACAAATTGATCTAGATAAGCAGAGAAAACATAGGTATAGAGAGTTAATTTAGTATAAAATGTGTTATAGGAGCGCCCGCTGCAGCCGACCCCGCACCAGAACCAGCGCCAGCGCCAGCGCCAGTGGCTGACCCTGGTAAGCTCTTGATGCTATTCCAAAAGACCACAGACATGATATGAACAGCCCATATTTATAATCTGTAGATAAAGTTTAGCAGAATCTTGAAGAAGCTTACGAAGGAAATAATACTAATAAATGGACTAATATAAAATATAACATATATGGAAAGGCTTCTTCTTTCATTTTGCAGAGCCGGCGCCTGTGCCCGAGCCCGCGCCTGATGCACCAGCTTCGCCAGCGCCGGTTCCAGGTGTGTATTAGCTTGAAATAGATTATCCAAGCCTATAACCAAAGATTTAATTGAATACCGTCGAGTTGTAACAATATTATAAAAAAATGAGAACTGACAAGTTCTTTAAAAGGCGTTGCTTGATAGCTTTCCAGATTTCAAGAGCTTGTTAGTAAAACTTATAGATGGTGAATTATAATACAAACGCTATTGTCACAATGTGAATATAAATTTCTGTAGGAGATTGTAGAACGTTTAGTTTTCTATCATAAAGAATAGAAAAAAATGCGTTTTATAATATTTGTTCCTTTTTTTCAGCCTCCGCCTAAGTGCTGCATACATTCACAGAATGGTGAACAATTTTTGAACAATTGAACAATTGAAATGCTCTCTGTGACAAACATATCCATTTTTTGTTATAAATTTACTAGTAATTTTAATAGTTAATAGTATATTTTTCTAATTTGACGCCGTATCTTGAACGATTATCAAATAACTACTGGAGGTGTACAAAATTATTAATAATTTTAGCACTAAAATCGAATAATTTGTCTCTTTATACGTTTTTATTATTCAGTTTTAGTACTTCAACAACATATTTGTCTAATCTTATATAGGAATATATAATTGAAAGTTGTTTTTTGCTAAAGGTAGGCACACTATATATATATATATATAACATTATTGACACCAAGAAGAATTGTTTACTATTTTCTAATACATTTGTAAATTTTTATATGAAGTACAAAATACAAAACAATTACAATCAACTTGTTTCATTTATTTGACCTTCAAACACTCAAGGAAATGGGCCATCGCAAAGGCTGGCAACGCATTTATGTCTCTTGAGTTTTCCACGGGCGATACTTTAATTACTTTAAGATTGTTTATTAAAATATTAAATATATACAATCAACACACGTCTCCTAAGTTTTTTGTGAATACGCGTCCAAAATCTATATCTATATCTAAAATCTATAAGTTTAATAAACCGTCAACGTTAGCACTCTTATGGCTATTGGTATGCCACATACCACATCAATTAATTTTATAAGATTAGAAAGTCTCGACATTTTCTGTGACTAGCTTAAGAAGAAAACCTAAAATAGCCTTTCTAAGCTCTATCCTCCGGGATAGGACCTGGATAGGCTATTTTTGCTTTAGATTTGTAGAATTAATGGACGTGGTAAGTGACATAGCAATAGCGATTAGAATGATACTGGTTTGTTAAACAGGTTTTTTACGCGCGACATTTTAATTACTTTTTTACTGAGATTGTTTGTATGTATTTACTTTTTCACATTAAAAGTAAATACATACAATCACACATTCCCGAAGGGATAGGCAAAGGCAAATTTACATCCGCATTTTGCCAATAAAATTTTGGCCTCAACTCATATAACTGAGGGCAAGCCTATTGTCATCAAGAGGGAATTGAATTGAAGTTGTGAAAATTTATAGAAATGAAAAGTATAGATGTATTAGAAGGGCAGGCAATCAAGAAGAAGAGAGAATCGAATGGAAAATAGTAGCAGGTTTTTGGTTTGCATAGCCAACTGTAAACTGTAAACAAAAAACTGTAAACGTAGTTAGGAGTATGTATAGCATAGCAATATAAGTTTATGTCTGTTTTTAACAATGTTTTACAATTAATTAATTATTGCTTTTACATGCCACAATTTTTTATAAATAACCTAATTTGTGCAGTAGAAAATAATAAAGACTGTACATGTCTGAATTAAAGATATTTAATTAATCCATAATGAACTACATCTATAATCTACAACTTCAACACTAAAACCCTTAAATAAACACCGTAGAATACCCTAGAGATGATCTATTACTGCAATTATGATTATTTCGATTATGGCGACAGAAAGTCATTCTAGTGTTTAATATATATACTGGAATGACAATTTATAGCTCCATGTCTACTCTTAAACAACTAAAACTAATACAGACCATCTTAAATTGCTGTAAGGCAAAGTTATTGTTATTTAAGACATGGGTAAATCTCAATTTAATTTAATAAGAGTGTGTTTAGAAGAAGAATAAGTTTATTAAAAAATGAAGTCGATTCAAGCTTTGCTCAAATGATACTATCTCTTATATATATAAGCCGTACGTTTTGCTAAGCAAGTAGCTTATAAACTGTCTTACCTTTAATTAGAGACGGTATCCTGATAGTTTTAGCACGAAATCCCTACTAAATTAGTCGACACGAAATCAGCCATATACAGGCATATGTTACAGGGGATGTACTCGACCGTAATATCTCAGCCCTTATTACTCGGATACAAGGCTGTGCAATTTGGGGATGTCGTTGTAACTGCCTCCCTGCTACAATGTAATATAGAATCATTTTATAGGATTGCCTATTGAAGGGACTCAACCATACGAATTTTTGGGCATTCGTTATATTTGATATTAAAATTAGTTGAACAGTTTCAATTTAGCAGATAGTCAAGTTAATTTATTGATTCGAGCGCCATACTATACTGATAAGATAGCAAAGCAGTCCTGGGGACGTAGAGTCTATTAAGTCAACTATAAACTTAATATAAAACATGTGTTAAAATATGATTTATTATGGTGAAATTAAATAAAAGGTAATGGTGTCCCTTTATCGACGGAGTGATGCCATTTATCGTGTTGGTGTCAGGGTCGTTTGTATCTCGGTAGTTACTATCTTAAACATGCCTAGGTAGTGCGGTTTAAAGTGATTATTCACAAAAAAACAATCGATGAGATATGTCGTCAATCAATAAATCAATCAAGCCACTAAATACTAATAGAAGTAATTAAACACACGCTTCTTTGGAGCTTAGAAAGTTCTTAAAAATGTTAATAAAAACGATTATGGCAATGATTACTGCGAGATCAGTAGGCAAATAAACATAGAACTTTTTGTTTTACTGAGGTGCTTGTGTTTGATTTTATTCGACAGCGTAAAAATGTTTTGCATTTCTGCTTTTAGTGTTCATATATTTTATTAGTCGCAGCTCCGTACTTTCTGTGATATTGCTAGATTGTGAAGAATAAACAGGTAATTTTATTTTCAACATATGAAGTTATATCTTGGGGAAAGTTGTTGTGTTTTACCTTGTGTATTTACATTTTACGAGTACAGGAAATATGAATGTGTTATGCTTGTAACTTATGCCTGTAAAGAGACAATTAATTGGGTTATTAAATTTTCTAGCAAATCGAGTAGCATAAGTATTTAAAAGTGTTGAACATAACATTATTTCAAGTATTTTTTTTTATTAGTTTACAATTCTTTCCATGAGTATTATAGGAGTAGATACATGTAGATTATAGTAATAAAATGATGCCCCTGCGATTAAGTATCCATTAAAAACACTACTTCAAAAGACAACAGAAGTAAATTGAAAAATATTTTTTAACATCTATTAATATATTGTAAAAATGGTATCTGTATGAATGGACATATTTATTTATTATTATTGTTAGTAATGTATATATTAAGTTTTCATTAATAAATTAAAGGGACATTATCTTTGGTATATACTATAGTATTTAATAAGCTCACTATTTGACTTTTTATAAGCATCCCCTGCCATGTCTACGCTGTCTATGTCATCGCAGTCTACATTTTGACTGATAAAGTCGCCACGTGCAATTTTCGTGCAAAATCTTTCAAATACTCACGTAATACTTACGTAAATAAGTACCAAATACCAAATTAATCACCTAAAGGCATTTAACGCTCCATGTCGTACGTCGTTTCGTATTACTAAAGTTCGCTACAAAAAAGCTTTAAATGGGAATTCTGTAAATGAAGCTTCAAAACAAGGTTCAGTGAATGCAAGCGATCGATTGCGGTACGGTCAGCTCACGTACTTTAACATCCTGCTTTCGGGGGTTGCAAAATACTTGTAAATGTTCAGACTGTAAATGTTACAAACAATATAACACCAAAAATTTATCAGGATAGCTATGGATTATACTACATGACATCGCTTCATATTATTTAATCAATTTTTAACATCATCATCATCATCATCAACAGCCTTTAACAGTTCACTGCTGGACATAGGCCTCTCTCTCCTCTTTTATTTTTACCATAATATCTATCATCTATCGAATATGATAATATGAATTTCTGCTACTGTCATAATCTTTCACAACAAGAAGTTATAAAACATAAGCATAATAAACTACTGATTCAATAGTTTAAGACCTGACTACATTTTGCCAGTAACTTCGCTAGCATTAAAATTATTTTACTTCAGTACTTTTTTCAAGATGTACGGTACTCTATAATAAATAGGGCTTAGAAGACAGCTATAATAAGAAAGACATAAAGAAGACAAACCGTATGTTACAAGCTACAGCTTAATTTTCGTCGTAAAAAGGCACCCTATTTCATCTTAATCACGAGAAAAAGTAACCGCACTTTAATTTTAAAGTCTTGAATGAATTAAAAGTGTGCGAAGAGTTTACAGAGCAATTCCGTTTTATTAAAAAACTTTGAATTTACATGAGCGGTGAGGTTATATTTTGCAGACTAGACTTAATAGTATATTATCTCTTGTTTTTAATAAAGCTGCTTCAGTATCAAGCCAAATCGAGAAGAAGGCAATTAACGGCATCAGGTGTTTTTCTGGCAAATAAATTAGAGAGTACGCTGACGGGTCGGATATAGCTAACTGTGTCGCATTCACTTATCATCTTAACAAAGTTTTAACAAAAGAATTTGCTGAATGAAAAATTTGTGCAATAATTTAGAAACGTTTATTTTTAATTACTTTTAACTTTTAAACGTTACAATATTTAAGTGATCTAAGTAACATGTGATTACCCGAT